AAAGTGTGGCTTCCGCCCAAAATCACTAACACGCCCTTATCTGAGCATACAGTCCTGCAAGGGAAAGGCGTTGGAAGAGCGAGAGAACACACACTTTTTATTTGTAATGTCGGCTCTTTTGGTTTCTTTATGTGAATCCCATCTAAAATGTGACAGATTGCAAAAAAACACATACATACTTTTTACATACATATGGTACATTCAAATCAGGCCCTGCCTTCAAGGAGCTTACAATGTAAAGTCCCTAACTCACATTCATATACTAGGGACAATTTAGACAGGAGCCAAAACAAATACCAGCATGTATTTGAAGCATGGGAGGAAACCCACACAGGCAGAGCATGCAAACTCCATGCAGGTAGTGCCATGGTTGGGATTTGAACCAGCAACCCTAGTGCCACTAGGCAGCAGTACTAACCACTAGTCCACTGTGCTGACACATGCCTGTAGATTGCAACTCTGTGGTGTGATGAGTCCTAAGTCCTTGGACATGCTCAGTGTAGCTAACAATATATTTCAAATGGATTGGAAATACAAATGTGGCACTGAATAAGCAGAATTCACAAGGCTGCTTACTATCATTCATGAGTGAAAGCATATGGCAAGATTTGCAATGATGGTGGAACCCCCCTACATATATCTACTTATTTTATTTGGATATTTACATATAGGTGATGGAGTTGCATCCGGATCTATGTTTATTGGTTTATGAATTGATATTTCTCTTTATTGGTGTGCCATTGTGGAACAGTGCTATCACCCTCTGAATGTGTGGTTTTTTTTTTTTTTTTTTTTTAGAATTTTTATGATGTTGGGATACATATCACATTTTTCGGAATACTATTATGATACTTTGATTGGGATACATATAACCAACACACATCGAATTTAGTAACACAGCGCAACATTTGGATTCCTTTTAATTTTGCTACAGCGCTGGTTTTATGTGTGGTTGGTGAAGACAGCTGTAGGAGTTTGGATTTGAATTTTTTTTAGGTGCTGAGTACCAAGTGCAGTTTTTCTACCATTTAGTTAATAGATTTCAAAAGTCTAATGCAGGCCATAGACGGGGTGAGAAAACCGGCCGAAAATTCGTCTGAAAGAATAATCGGCCGATTTTCGGATCGTTAGTGGGTGAATTTGTCGGCAGTTTTTCGTGATTCTGACACATTTTTTTAATCGGTGAAGTTGGAAAAAAAAATCACGGCAATGATGGGCAAATCGGCCGATCTTTTTACTGATTAAAAAATGCGCATGAGCCGTGACCTGCAAGAAGAAGAGGAAAAAGAAGAAACAGAAGAAGATAAAGACAAAAGAAAAAGAACATCTGTACTTGTAAATGTCAAATAGAATAGTGGAGTGTCCCTGCAGAGAGCTCTGTCTGCTATTATATTTGACATTTAAAAGTATAGTAAAGTTGCAACATTGTATCCATTTGTATCTGAATAGAAACATCTGTATCCAAAATGGATACAAATAGATACAATGTTGCAACTTTGCTATACTTTTAAATGTCAAATATAATAGTGGAGCTCTCTGCAGGGACACTTCACTATTATATTTGCCGGCCGTAGACGGGACGAAAATCAGACGACTTTTTTTTACCAATGGTGGTAACGTCGGCTGATTGACCGATTTTCCGTTTTTCTAAAAAAAAAAACATCCGGTTTTCTCCCCGTCTATGGCCTGCATAAGTTCCTGGACATGATCAATGCACATGGCAGTACATACATAAGTATATATACTGCAGAGAATAAATGCTCAAAAAAAAGAATAAAAACAGAGCACTAGCATTATTTAAAAAAGAAAAAGAGAAATAAAAGAATATTGTATAAGAAGCAAAAAAAAAAACAAAATTACTAAGGAAATTAAAATGTTCTAGAATGTCTATGTTGGTGTTTCTGTGTATAGTGAAAATTCTATAGTTACAAGTATTGATGTATACCATTTTATTTATTTATTATATATATATATATATATATATATATATACATAAATGTTAGTCTGTTTAATAATCACGTTTTACAGGAACAGGTCGACTCTTTTCCAGAAACAGGTTGACTCTTTTCAACAACATTTCCAGGCTTTCCAACAAAGGCATTTACTATAGCACTTTAAAAAAAACAACAGGGTGAAGGCAGCTTTCAGTTTTCCTGGTCTGGGCATGCTCAGTCGTGTCACTACTGAGATGTCTGAACTAGGTGTAGTCAATGCCTGTTTGGATTTTTTTAAATATATCAAGCAGTTATTCTTAAAAATGTCCAACATATGTATAGGAAGTATAAATTGCTTGAGATCGTGTCATTAAAAAGATTTTTCTCTGCTGTTGACCTGGTTCTAAGAGGTGAACTAATTTAGATGGTCTCTAAGTTTTGTTACCATTCGTAAATTCCGATTGTGTCTATTTTTGGACCGAGTCCTTTAGTATATCTCTTCTCTGCCTAAAACGTAGTCGGTCATGCAAGGAACTGCGACCATTTGCAAACAAGGTCCTTTAGTTAATCAACCCCAAAATGTGAGAAAAAAACTTTGTGAATTAAGACGTCCATTAATATATTATTCCAGCTGCTTGATAATATTTATACAATATACCTCAACTGGGTACTTCTTTCTTACTGTGTGGCATGTTCAGGTTAATAGTATAAACCTTTTCAAAACACAAATCTCCACAAATGTCCAAAAGTGTCCACACATATCAAATCTTCCAAAATGATGTTCAAATCTTCATTCCAATCCAGAATACCTCAAACAAAATATAAACTAAATATAGTGCATTACCCTTTAAAATTGAATAAAATTCTGTGAAATCATGCACAAACACTAGTGAGAATATAACAGCACAAATGCGAAGAAAAAAATAAATAAATAAATTTATATTGTATAGTGTTTAAACACAATGTGAAATTCAAATACAAAATCCACACTGGTGGTAAAGTGAGTTAATTACTCCAAGTGTAATATAACACACCACACAAATGCAATTGGTGACACGGTGCACTAAACCAAATGCGTGCCCTCACTCTGTGTTAAGATTACACACTATTACCCTCATTCAAATTAAGCAGGCATTTTCATATTTTCCGCAGAACAGGTGGCTTTTTCTCTTTAGAGGGGAGTACAACGAAGTCCCCCCATTCCTCACAAAGAAGAGAAGAGAGAAACTCAGCGGAGTAGAATACAAGAATTTAATAAAATAGTATCTGCTTACATTACATAAAGGACTATCCACCCACTAACAGACCACATCCATAATGCTACTTCCGGTATGCGTCTGACCTCACGACCCTGACTAGTTTTGTCACTTCCGACTTTTTCTTAAGGGATCCAGACGTCCAGACAGCGGCTCTACTTATACTGCTCACATCTCCATGCTGCTCTTGATTCCTTCACTTGTGTGTTGTTCTGTGCTCACCTATCATAGAGCCGCTGTCTGGACGGAAGTAGCATCGCGGCCATTTTGGATGTGGTCTGCTAGTGGGTGGATAGTCCTTTATGTAATGTAAGCAGATACTATTTTATTAAATTCTTGTATTCTACTCCGCTGAGTTTCTCTCTTCTCTTCTTTGTGAGGAATGGGGGGACTTCGTTGTACTCCCCTCTAAAGAGGAAAAGCCACCTGTTCTGCGGAAAATATGAAAATGCCTGCTTAATTTGAATGAGGGTAATAGTGTGTAATCTTAACACAGAGTGAGGGCACGCATTTGGTTTAGTGCACTGTGTCACCAATTGCATTTGTGTGGTGTGTTATATTACACTTGGAGTAATTAATTCACTTTACCACCAGTGTGGATTTTGTATTTGAATTTCACATTGTGTTTAAACACTATACAATATAAATTTATTTATTTATTTATTCTCTTTTGTGCTGTTATATTCTCACTAGTGTTTGTGCATGATTTCACAGAATTTTATTTAATTTTAAAGGGTAATGCACTATATTTAGTTTATATTTTGTTTGAGGTATTCTGGATTGGAATGAAGATTTGGACATCATTTTGGAAGATTTGATATGTGTGGACACTTTTGGACATTAGTGGAGATTTGTGTTTTGAAAAGGTTTATACTAATAATTTTGCACTTTCAAGGGTGAAAGTTTTACTTTTCGTTGGGTACACATAGAGTTTTTTTTTTTTTTTTTTGGATGTTCAGGTTAAGCCGCTTCTCAGTATTTGATTTATTTGCTGTGTAGAGGAGTGACACAAGCAAATTATTTTTTTATTTTTTGTAATCTTATAAAATACCCTTATTTTATACAGTTATCAGTCTTTTAACATGCTTTTTGCGCATTATATTTTTGTATAAAAAGCCCTTTGTCCACTCCAACTTCTTTTTTGTCCACCAATACCTACATTGTTGTTGTCTTGGTTTTTTTTGTGTGTGCACATTTTTGTCTTTGTGTTATGGTTGGTTAGGTTTCTTTAGTTACATACATTTTCTTTGTAGTGTTGTGCTGATGGAAATGTAGGCAACTGCAATAAACACAATTATTGTATTTGTATCTAGATGTATTGATTTAGGGTTGCTCGGTCTTTATGTGTTAATATTTTAATGTAATACTGCATGTTTGTGAGCTTGAATTGCTGTGGCACAACTGCTGTTTGCAATTCAGTTCTGTTTTTTTTTTTTCTGGTGTAGCTACAAAGGTAATTGATAATTTATTTCTATTTTGGGCACATTGTAATTACATTTCCATAGAATGATCAAGGAACAACATAGTGCGTTTATTTCTGGTTTAATTAAATTCGATAATTTGCCTAGCTACGGTATCCATTTTTGTGGGTGAAAATATCATTTTTAATTTATTATGAAGACATAATTGTTATTTCTTTATCTGATGCAATTTACAGTTTACAGTGAAATTTTTGTGTAAACATGATGAGCCATGGCTCTGAACACGTTTTTCGCTCTAGTTAAACTGCTGCAATGTTATTTTCTTGTCACATTGTTTTCCATTGTGTCTTTCAGTGCTGTTTATAAATATGTTAAAATTTCTCTTTCAGACACTTATATTTCCTGCAACTTAAAAGCGACATTTTAGAGGGAAGGTAAGATAAATCTAATAAGTAAAGTATTAACCTAGTAAATTGTGTTGTCTACAGTAGGCTAGGAAATAATTAATCCTTGTACGTTCACAGGCTTTGCCCCTGTTCATGTTCTGTTTGCTTTCAGTTCTGCAGTATTATCCTACTGGTTCAGCCAGTAGTCACCATAGAATTCTAAGTGAATCTCACTTGCCAAGAACTTGGAACAAGCATCAAAAACAAGACAACAGCTTCTGCCATCTGTTTGAATAGGACTGTGTCAATTTCTTCTTAGTCAAATTTGAATGTCTCCATACTATGATAAATGTATTGCCTATGAGCTGCACCAGTTAAGCTGTATGCACCCTGTGGTTTACAGAAAATCAATACGGTTGAACACAGGCAGAGAGAGAGCATTCTTGTAACTGTTCATCTTGACAATTTTCATAGCACACTTTCAGCTCATTGGTTAGGAAGTAATTGCTGTTCCCATACAACAGTCAGAATCTGGCATCAGTTTGAACAGAAGTACCATCTGCATGGAATTTTATTGTTTTATCTTTCATTGTGATGTTTTTTTTTTCCACAACTCACATACAATCTTCTAGTCATATCAGTAATATAAGTGGGCTTTTTCCAGTCTGGCTCTCGGGTCCAGATTTGTAACTATCCAACCAATTACTCATTCACAAAAACCTAGCCCCAGCGATGATGCACCTTAGGAAATGTGTGAGCAACAAAGACCTCTTGAGCTCACCAGCGTTCCTCATACTATATGATCTGGCCTTCTAACAGTGGGCAAAGCTTCAGAGGTAGGTTTTCTAACAGTACTGCTGAGTCTGTTCAGTGCCACCTGCCTACACTTTACTCTTGTAGAGCATACTCAGTTTACACATGTAAATTGCGTATACAGGTGGTCAGCAATACAGCTATGAAAACCTGCCGCTGGAGTCCTGCTCTTTACTGTACTGTACTGCCTTTGGCCCTTCCATGACCCTACATACCCTACTGTGCCCAACTGGAAATAGGAGATTGAGACATTCTGTTGCCCATTCTCCCTCCAAGTCTAAAGGCTACAGCTATTCCCAACATCAGCCACCTGAAGAAAGAGAGACATAGCAGGTGAGTTTTATGTTGTATAATATGAATTAAGAGTAAACTGCTGAGAGAGGACTATTAAGGGCCCATTCAAATATATGCTTTAACAGAGGTGGACTGACCATTTGGAAACTCGGGCACTACCTGAGGGCCCAGGGTCAGTAGGGGGCCCCATGAGATGCCCCTGGTACCTTTTTTATAGGCTTTTTTGAGTTTGGGCAAGGACTCAGGGGCCCCATGATCCCCTATTGCCTGGGGGCCCAATGAGTTGTCCGCCCCTGTGCTTTAAGGTAATGTGTGTTAAATGTGCATTTTACCACTCATTACTGTTATACAGGTATTATGCAGTGTATGTTGCGCTATTCATTGTGAATGGCATCCTATTGTACTATGCAGTATTGGCCAATGCAACTGCAAAGAAGAGGATTACAATGCACATTCCATCCATCTTAGTGTACTAGATTGACAATAAAGGGTTGTGTGCATTTTTTGGTCCATTACAGTCTATTTACAGCCCATTCATATTTATTGGGATGCATTAACGCATTGCACAACATAACACATGTTAAGCATCAAAGTAAAAGCCTTTCTGTGAATGTGAACCTGTTCTATGACCACATAATGCAAAGTATTAGGTTAACTTGATAGTTCCCTTTGCCAAGCCAGTATGTTTCCTTAGCTCCCACACCACCCCATTCACTCGGGGAAGTAATGTAAAGTGTTAAGCCCTGTGTAAGCTTCCACGTCCACATGTACAGTGCTTGCTCAGAACTCTTCCCATACTCCCCTATATGATGGTATAATCATATTTCTGGTTGTATCAGTACAGTACTAATTATGCTTCTGGTTGTATCAGTACAGTACTAATTATGCTTCTGGTTGTATCAGTACAGTACTAATTATGCTTCTGGTTGTATCAGTACAGTACAAATTATTATGTTTCTGGTTGTATCAGTACTGATTATATTTCTGATTGTATTAGTACAGTACAGAATGTATCTAGTTGTATCAGTATAGTACTAATTATGATTAATGTATCAGTACATATCTTTTTTAATGCTTATAATATGTTAAAAATGGTCACAAGGCTCAAATGTGAATAACAGCTACAAAAGTGATAATTTTATAGTGCAAAGCACCTTATATCCCCACTCCAATGTTGATGTAGAAATACAGGCAATTACATGGTAATATATCAAATGTTTTACATAATGGAAAACATAAATCTCTGAAATATCTCTGGAATAATTGGGGAAAAGGAGATGCTTTGTCTTAACGTGTTTCGCAGATTACTCTTCTTTAGGAGACTTTAAGGTGCTAATGATAATAGAGATATTACATTGAAAGCTTCTCTGCAGCAATGATCTGAATAGTCCTATGTAGTTTGTAAAACTACGCATTATATATGAATATTATAAGCATGTAGAAAAAATCAAGTATGTCAGAATTTTTCTTTTCCAATAATTTTTATTAAATGTTTCAATAAAAGTACAAAAAATTTCAACATTTGCACATATGACAAACCGTATACTGTTGACACATGCCAGAGTGCAATGCAATATGTCAACATTTTTAATGGCAAGATTGCTATGTTATCGCATCTGCTTCAAATATTAAGAATGCATGTTCCCTTCTAGGTTATCATGTGCACTAAACTCAGCTGTTGTTCTCGCATCATATGCTGTACAATGTAAGTCATTTTACTTTTTATTTTTTTTCATTTATTTCAAGCTTGATTTCTGAAAGTAACATGCTCACTGGTGTTATTAAAATGATGCAGATTATTAAAATATATTGTAGCGCTACCCTCGTGAGGGCCACTGTGTTGTTTGTATCTCTGAGCTTCCCTTCACCCAGCCAGGCAACAGGTATTTCTTACACAGACTTGCATCCAAAGACCATGACCAGTCCATGAACTTGGTTTTGTTGTTAGGGGATTTCAACATGGATAGAGTAATAGGGATTATGGGATGCCCAATTTGGCTTGGGACAATGGAAGGAGGACACTTCCCTCCTATGTATAAATCAGATCCTTGACTGTTCTTTTCTTTAAAGAAGCGAATCAGTAGCAGTCGCTTTACTGGCAAGGAACTAGCAGCCCCTCAAAGACAAAAAAAAAATATCACTTCTCGTAGCTACATACAGGGATGTCTTCTCTTCCCCGTACGGAGCTGCTCTCAGGTCCCCAGCCTGCAGACACTACCAGCCCTCCTGGCTTCTCGGAAGATCTCCCGGATAAAGGATTTAGCGCAATACTGTTCTTGGACAGCTTGTTAATCACACTGTCCTCTTTTTGCTGCTCCAGGCCTGATCCCATCTACGCAGAATGTATCCTCCTGAATCAGCCCAAGCCCAGCCTAGAGGCCTGCCCCCACCAGACCTAGGAAACCCCTCCTAGACCCAGACAGTCTCCTCCGCATTCCATCTTCCACCCGACTCCTCTGTCAGCCTGACTTTCCCATACTTATAGGCCAGGCTACCACTCTACCAGGGCCTCTAAACCTGGGATTGGCTGGACCCTCTAAGAATATGCAGATTAGACCTCCACCCCTCCTTCTTACCGACCTCTGGAAGGTTCTATGGTCCTCCATGAGTCAGGAAGAGGCGACAGAGACACAACCTGTAGAGTCATCTAGCTGACCTGTAATAACCCAACCTTAATCACATGACCCACACAACTACCACAAGTCAAATAGAAGCACAAGGAAAATCATCAGTAGATCCAATTCTTCCTACCAAAATCCTGTCGTATATGTCTGCTTGAATCCCATGCTGACTGACAGTAGGTAAAATGTCCCCAGTAGGGACGCAGACAGCAATAAAAATCTGACAGAAGTTGTGGTCCTATGGGAAGGACTATCCTTCTGTTAGAACACAGAAGGGGAGATCGCTGTACTAACATCAGATTGTTGGTATGGGTTTTCCTCTTGAGCTCTACAGTTTTTTTTCATTCAGCCCTCTGGATTTAACAAAAAAAAAAAAAAACTGATAGTGTATACTAGGCTTTATCACTATAGAGACTTAGAAAAACTGTTGATTTAACCACTTTACCCCCCCAGGCCAATTCTGACATTTTTTACATACATGTAAAAATCTGCAATTTTTTGCTAGAAAATTACTTACCCCCAAACATTATATATGTTTTGAAAGCATAGACCCTGGAGAATAAAATGGTGGAGTTGCAGTTTTTTATGTTACAAGATATTTCTACAGCCATTTTTAAAATGCTAATTTTAATAAAAAATTCACTAATGAATGTTAGTGCACACAAACACAATATAAGAGTAAATCTTTTGGTAAAATATAAAAGATGATAAGTTACACAGGAGGTCTCTTACTAGAATTATTGCTCTGATGTTTGTGGCGATACCTTGTGTGGTGTGATCACCAATTACACACACACACACACACATATATATACAGTGAAGGAAATAAGTATTTGATCCCCTGCTGATTTTGAATGTTTGCCCACTCACAAAGAAATGATCAATTTTAGAATTGAATGGTAGGTGTATTGTAACACTAAGAGACACAATAGCAACAAAAAATTCAAAAGAAATGCATGTCTAATAAATTATGCACTTATTTTGCATGTTCATAAGGGAAATAAGTATTTGATCCCCTTCACAAAACATGACTTGGTACTTGGTGGCAAATCCCTTGTTGGCAATCACAGAGGTCAGATGTTTCCTGTAGTTGGCCACCAGGTTTGCACACATCGCAGGTGGGATTTTGGCCCACTCCTCTTGGCAGATCCTTTCCAAGTCATTAAGGTTTGGTGGCTGACATTTGGCAACTCGGAACTTTCAGCTCCCTCAACAGATTTTCAATCGGATTAAGGTCTAGAGGCTGGCTGTATTTCTCCTCATCCCCTTTTCTATCTAAACCTTTATCACTTTACTGTCAAAGTCTATCTCCAGTTGTATAAACTACAATAGTTGTTTCTCTTTGAAATCTATAATTCATGCTATCATACTCCTCTCTACCTCTTTCTATTCACGGCAAAGTGACAGTGTCTTCTGGGGGTAATCTGGTGTTTGTGCAAAAATTAATAGAAAAGAGGTATTTGGCTTACATAACCAACCCCAAGCATAAAAGGTACTATGGGAACCTGGTTAATCTGATGGAAAACAGTAGATGCAGGTAGCCTATCTGGGATTTCAAATGCCTGAAAGAAAAAAAAAAAAAAAAAAAAAGTATCTGTTTCATAAACTGACACAAGCTAAGCAATTTGTGCAGGTTGTTGGTAAATGCAGAAGCATCCTGAGACCACTCTTAAGTTTATGCATTGTATGCTTAGCAATCCTAGATATAGTATTTAGCAAATTAACTAAATGTCTGTTAAATATCATGAAGAATGTATAAATAAATGTACATATAAGAGTTCCCTTTGTTTACTAGTGAGCTTGCGTAAAGCAAAATGATATAAATGTCCATTTAGAATGTGAATGTGTGGTAAGAGACTCAGATTTTGGAAATTGTTGCTATATAGAACCCAAATTGAGGGGGCAAGACTGGCACAACTCACCTAACTGGCATGCCACCTCTACGCACATAGATTAGCTCACATTTGAGGCAGTCTGTGTACCCCTTTCATTTACCAAGGTTACTCAGGTCCAGATTGGCCTGTCCTAGAGATTTAACCCCTCTTAATGCATTTGTATACCACTCGTTGTGTTTGTCATCTTTATATGACCCAAAATATGAACCCTCATCTTCTGTCTCTCCATTAGCATCCTTTCTGGAAGATGTTCATTTCCCAGTGTCTTCTTTTTTATTTGATTACACTTTTCACATTGGTTTGGCCATAAACCTGATTTCTGTAGATTCACTGATAGTTGGTTCTCACTTTTGAGCCTTCTCTCAAATTCAACAATTACATGACTTTCCTTAATTCTGAAGGCTTCAAATATCTGCAACTACAACACTTTTATAGTACCCATTATGCATTGATCCCCACAAAACCCCTTACTAATTTAGAGCAGATATGCTTTTCCTCCTCTAGGGACTGGTTTATTATTTCAATATTGTACTGCTTCCTTTAACAGTTTTCCTTTTCCAGATTGTTCCCTCCCAATGGTTAAAAGCTAAATCTGCATTGGGATTGTTCACCTAAGATTGGTTAGATATACTGTAAACCTCCATAAATGTACACATTCCATAGCAACTTGAGAAACAGCCAATTAAGCTTCTTATCAGGTGGTACATGACTCCAGCCAAACCTCTTGTAATTTTTCAATCTGTTTCCACCAGTTGCTTCAGGGAATGCTCAGATCATGGCACCTTTATTTACATTTTTTGGAGCTGTTTTTGCATCCATTGTGGTAACAAACAGCCAGTAAACAGCAAAAATTATAGGCTTCCAACTCACCTTAACCACTTGCCAATTTTCAGCTTTCAGCGCTGCCGCACTTTGATTGACAATTGCGTGGTCATAGAGCACTGTATCCATATGAAATTTTATCTCACTAATAGAGCTTTCTTTTGGTGGTATTTACTTGCCGCTGTGTGTTTTACTTTTTGCGCTGTAAACAAAAAAAAAAAAGCAAAAAAATTTGGAAAAAAAAAAGGTTTTCTTTGTTTCTATTATAAAGTTTTGCAAACAGGTAATTTTTCTCCTTCACTGATGTGCATTGATGGAGCTGCACTGATGGGCAGCACTGATGGGCACTGATGGGCAGTGCTCATGGGCACTGATGGGCACTGATAGGCGGCGCTGATGGGCAGCACTGATGGGCAGCACTGAAGGGCACTGATAGGCAGCACTACGAGATGGCATGGATAGGCGGCACTGATAGGTGGAACTGATAGGCGGCATTGATGATGCTTACAGATAGTCAGCACTGACTGGCGGCACAGATAGTCGGCACTGACTGGCACAACTGCTGGGCACTGACTGGCAGCACTGGTGGGCACTGAGCAGAGGTGGGTGGCACTGATGGGCAGAGTTGGGTGACACAGGTGGGCGGCACTGCTGCCAAAACCTTGGACAGAGGGGTGGCAGTGGACGTGGTATACTTGGACAGAGGGGGGTGGCGGTGGATGTAGTATACTTGGATTTTGCAAAAGCGTTTGACACAGTTCCCCACACACAGCTAATGTGTAAGTTAAAGTCTACGGGCTTGGAAAAATCCATATGTAAATGGATAGAAGAGTAGTGGTTAATGATTCATACTCTGAATGGTCTAGGGTCATCAGTGGTGTACCCCAAGGTTCAGTGTTGGGACCCTTACTCTTTAATATATTTATAAATGATATAGGGTCCAAAATTAGGAATCCCATTTCAGTCTTTGCAGATGACACCAAGCTGTGCAGAGGAATAACGTCCTTACAGAATGTCTTCAATTTACAAGCTGACCTCAATGCACTGTGTAATTGGGCAACTATGTGGCAAATGAGGTTTAATATTGGTAAATGTAAGGTTATGCACTTGGGGCTAAGAATATGCATGCTATCATACATACTAAGGGGGGTACAACTGGGGGAATCAATGGTGGAGAAGGATCTGGGAGTTCTGGTAGATCACAAGCTTAATAATGGCATGCAATGCCAAGCTGCAGTTTCTAAAGCGAGCAAAATCCTCTCTTGTATTAAAAGAGGTATAGACTCCAGAGAGAGAGATATCATATTACCCCGGTACAAATCATTAGTAACACCTCATCTGGAATATGCAGTTCAGTTTTGGGCACCAATTCACAGAAAGAACATTGGGGAACTGGAGAAAGTACAGAGAAGGGAAACCAAACTGACAATGAGGCATGGAGGAGCTCAGCTATGAGGAAAGATTAGAGGAACTGAATTTATTCTCTCTTGAGAAGAGGGATTAAGGGGGGATATGATCAACATGTATAAATACATCAGTGGTTCATATAGTGAACTCGGTGTAGAGCTATTCACCCTGAGGTCATCACAGAGGACAAGGGGGCACTCTTTACGTCTGGAGGAAAAGAAATGTAATCTCCAAACACGGAAAGGTTTCTTCACAGTGAAAGCTGGGAAAATGTGGAATAGACTCCCTCAAGAGTTGGTTCTGGTCAGCTCAGTGGATTGCTGTAGGAAAGTCCTGGATTCTTTCTTAGATACACAGAATATATCTGGATACTAACATTTATAGGTAAAGTTGATCCAAGGAATATCTGATTTCCTCTCAGGGGATCAGGAAGGAATTTTTTTCCCAGCAAGAGCAAATTGGATCGTACTTTGCTGGGTTTTTTGCCTTCCTCTGGATTAACTGTGGGTATAGGATTATAACTCTTTTTTTTTTTTTTTTTTTTTTTTTTCTATGGTTGAACTGGATGGACATTTGTTTTTTTTTTTTCAGCCGGACTAACTATGTAACTGGTATTCTGACTCAGTAACAAGGTCTCAAGTAATACCACATATGGAATCTATTAAAATTATGGAATATTCCAATTTTTAAATTAACTTTTATGTAATTGTGTCATTTTTACATTGCTTTTATGTAATTTTCAATCATCTTTGGATCCACATATTCATCTGTGGTTTATTTAGTAAGTACATTTTGCCAAGTAATCTATAAGGATTCTAGAATAGTTGGATATGTCTTATGTTTATTATATATTACCAGTTTTTTACGTTTTTGTTATACTGCCTTTAGGCCCCATTCACACCTGAGCGTTTTGGAGCTCAAAGCTCCAAATTGCTTGAGGAGCAAAAATCAATTATTCTCAACAGAGATGGTTCACATCTCCACTCCAAGTCGCCTGAAGCCAAACCTCTGATTCTCAAATACGTTCTGGAGCTTTTATTTGTAGCTCAAATTGAGAAGATTTTTATTCCCATAGAAATTAAGGGAAATGTGTGATTTGTCGCTCGTTGGTTTGATTCTCTGCTCAAATGTAAAAATTGGAAAAAAATGTATAGTAATATTATATGAATAAATTAATATAAAATAAATACACAAAGAAAAGTCATCATAAATAAAATTAATAATATGTGATAATAAATGAATAATATTAACCCCTAACCTTAACCCCCTCAAGTTAAAAATTTAATTATTTATAATTCAATAATTATATTATTATTAATATATATTTATTTTGTGTCAGGGTGTTTATTATTATGATTATCATTATTATTTTATTTCAGGGCTAAAAAATTTCAAGTCCTGAGCTACTAGCCAGGCCTTAAGAGTTACTTGCCACTATTTACCCAACCCATCCCCTACCCTTCCCTGCCCCTAATTCCGCCCCTAAACACACCCTTGTAAATTATCTCACAAAATGACACTGTTAAATGTTTTATGCAGAATAAAGCAATGTAAACATAAAATGTAAATAAGCGCTTTACATCAACAGGGACACAAATTGTGAGGAACTTTTTCTTCTAGTGATAACAAAGCTGAAGCACTATTCCTCCCACTGATAACAATGATGGGGCACTATTCCTCCCACTGACACCAATGATGGGGCACCATTTCTCCCACTGATACCAATGGGGGCACCATTTCTCCCACTGATACCAATGATGGGGCACCATTTCTCCCACTGATACCAATGATGGGGCACTATTCCTCCCACTGATACCAATGATGGGGCACTATTCCTCCCACTAACATAAATGATGGGGCACTACTCCCCCCACTGATACCAATGATGGGGCACTATTCCTTCCACTAACATAAATGATGGGGCACTACTCCTCCCACTGATACCAATGATGGGACACTATTTCTCCCACTGATACCAATGATGGGGCACTATTTCTCCCACTGATACCAATCATGGGGCACTATTACTCCCACTGACATAAATGATGGGGCACTATTCCTCCCACTGATGCCAGTGATAGGGCACTATTTCTTCCACTGACACCAATGATGGGCCACTATTCCTCCCACTGACACCAAGCATGGGGCACTGTCCCTTTACTGATACCAATGATGGGATATAATACAAATGCTGAGGTGTTCTTCTTTCCACTGAAACCAAACTTAAGACTCTTCTACTCCCTATGAAAATCCAGGAATCTCGGTGTCTCAAGCACCATGCAGTAGTCCCACTTCATTCCTTTTCCACTGAAGTGTGCACATCTCCGGCCTTAACTGAGAATCCAGGGAACCTTAGTGTCTCCACCAACATACATGCTACATGCTTCAGTGGAGGAGGAATGAAGTAGAACTATTGCATGGTGGTGGAGACACTGAGGTCCCTAGATGTACAGTTTAGGCTGGAGGTGTCCATGCACACCTCCACCCTTAACTGAACTCTAGGCACTTCAACTTCAAAGAGAGGGAAGGGCTGAGAGAGAGGGAGTAGAGAGGGGGGTGGTGAAAAAGAGAGAGAGGGATGTGAGAAAGAGGGGGGGAGTAAAAAAAATATAAAAAAAATTATAAATTAATAATAATAATAATTGTAATAAAATAATAAAGCTGATGAAAAGGCTAAAAAAAAGCTAAAAAACCTAGCAACAAATGATTGATGCAATACATGAAATTTTTCTCTTGGTTAATAAAAAAAACGCCAAAGCTCAAAAAACACCTAAAAAAACAAACAAAAAAAACATTGTATGAAAACGCACAAAAAATGCACGCTATATATTGAAATATATATGAAATATGACTTGTACACAGGTACCTTAATCATCAGCATGGTATTCAATTATTACACGATTTATATGATTATATATTCATAAAATGTGTCATTTTTAATTGTTTTTTTTACAAATGTCTGACTTATTTCAGCAGGCTAAATGTATTTATTGCTTCCAAACACAGGGTTACCTATTGGTACTCTAATAAATCTATACTATATATTATAACATAAATGTAGCAATTTATTTCAATGGTATATGCTTAAATGTATCCTAAATGTTCTTTTACAGATATTTCTGAGATAGACTAGTGCACTATTTCAGTTTAGGATGAACTGTGTGGCTCTAGTCCAAGTGAATTTGCCAAGGAGCTAATGCTGTTTTCTTAGCTTGAACAGGGATTAAGCTGCTTTGAAAGCTGTTCATGAGTAAAGCTGGAACATCACTAAAAGATTTGGGTGTGGGAGTTCTTGTAGCTCTGGAGTAAAATGTGTATTGGAAGATTACAGAAAATTGCAATGTTATTTTTTGTAATCTGTCTTGTTTAAACACATAATTTACTAGTTTTAATATAAAACTGAAATTTAGAAATATATGAAGTAGAGTGAGCTTGTGAGACAGATCGTTAGAAAGCGCTGCACACTATGCAATTTTTCTTGGTAAGCCATTTTATTTGATGATTTTATTATTTCAGTTTATTTATTTTAAAGACATTTGTTTTTTAAGATTACAGTTTCCCAAAGATTCATATTAGGAACAGTGAGTACTGCCAATGTTCAAGGGATTTAAACTTTAATATATTTATACAGTCCATGTAATCCTATTTTCAGTAAATTACATTTTTAAAAAGTAAGCATATGGTAAGATATAGTTGTATAGGTGTCAACTGTGAGGTTATATAACAATTATATAACAATACAACTACTATCATTTCTAGTTTTTAATAAATGTTTCTTTTTTTGCAGCTGAGTTTGGAGACTATATTCCTTCAGTGCATCTTCCAGGATATCTGTCAAATAAAAGTTTTATTCCAGGTCAAGATAATGACTTTATAAGCAAAGTGGAATCCCTCCATAATCAGCACAGGTAATAACAATTTAGAGCTTGTTAGGAAGATTCTCCTCACCTCCTATACTGTTGACTCTTCAACTCTGACAGAGGGGGGTCATCAGGATTGGAGGAGAGGTAGAGAAATTCTTTTACTTCTTGTCATAGTATTAAGAGAACAGGCAGAGAGGGAAGTCTCACATAAAAACCTGATAGTGTTCATCAGGGCACAGAGTGAATCTCCACGCCAGAGATGGGCAGCAATGCAAACCAGATAGGGATTCTAACCCTTTCTTCTTCTCTATACAAAATAAAAAAGGTTTGGTCTTTAGATGCACTTTAATGACTTTCAAGGCTAAGTTCACCTTTTGAAAAATAAATAAATAAAGGCACATTTTTTATGCAGATTAAAAAATGTGCATTTAATATTTTTTTCTAAGGAACTTGCAGAGCATTGCGCTCATGATCAGCAGATCGCGGGTGCAATCTCAGACTCCTGCAGACTCTGAGGAAAGCTGTTTGCCCGTACCTCAAACAGACAGGCAGTAACTTGAGAGCAGGAAGATCAGTAAACTACAAGAGCGCTCGTAGTTCATTGAGGACTACAAAACATCAGCCGAAGTGGCTGATGGTACTCGTAGTCTATCCATTCACAAGAAACTGTGAATGAATGATGTGGGTGGAGCACTCCATGGCACCCTGTTTTCAAATTGTGACCGTGTGTGTTGGGAGAGGATCCCTGTCCTGTCCCAGGGCAGAGGGGGAGGATCAGGGGGAAAGGGTGCAAATGCTGGAACATGCTACGTGTTCCACCCTAGAAACAGGTGGAACATACAACTGATCCTTTAACTGCTAATAATTGTCTCACGCTTCATGGCAATGAAAAGGTTACAATAAGCTTACATTTTAATAACAGCAGTTCTAAACTTGTTTTGATGTTTTTCTGTAGGCCCTTTCTGGTAAAATTGATCTGGGTGGCTGTAGAGCCGCCTGTCCACTTTTACCGGGCTCTGTATATTCAGCCCTCTACACACACAAAACACATATGTTTCCTAATAGGTTCAGAGCTGTCAGTACCCAGCAGCTCTGACAATGAAAGCAAGAAGATCGAAGCACAGTTTGTGTTTGATCCTCTTGACTGGAGTGCAGACGAGGCATTAGGGGTCTAATAGACCTCTGATGCCTCAATTAATACTAGCTGTCACACCATATATGCTATTGAATAGGGGGCTTGTCGGCCTCCTTTTGATAGCAATAATGTTAAATGAACAATTTGTTTAAAAAATAATAATGTAATAAAATAATAAATAAATATTTAAAAGCCTCTAAACTGATGAGCTGTAAAGTCTTTTGAAGCCTTGTCTATGGACAGTTTTTGTGGTATTATATATTTTCCCTGTTTTTAGGGTGCCTGCATTTTTATGGCTTGACGTGTTTGGTCAGTAACCAAAATGCAATATGCACAAGGAAAGCAAGCTAGTGTTTTCAGTACACCTTAACAAAATACAAATAACCCAACAGTGCAGCGCTATACAACAAAAGTATCTGTCTGTGCAATCGATCAGATCTAACTCCTAAATGAGCATGCATAAATAACGTGCAAACCAAAAACAATCAAAGTGATCTCAAAAACATTGCATACTCATTACATATATGTGCATCAGAATATAGTGTCCATAAATCTCTAGTGAATAGAAAAACAATTGATGAAAAAAATTTAGGAGAAGAAGAAAGGAGGAGGAGAAGGGAGAAAGGAAGAGGGGAAAGAAGAGAGAGAGAGAGAGAGAAAGAACTTGCACAATTGCGTGGCTGATACTAATATGAAGATATTCATAAAGTGCAAATGCTTCAACCACCAGTGAAAATAAATGTTGCATCACCAAAAAAACAAAAGTTTATACATGACAAAGCTCACCTCCAAGTGAACAAAAGTGTGTTTTTCTCTTGTAATTCTACAATATATATTGCAAAATCTTTAACGTGACAACACAATGTGCTCGTCTCAATTAAATTACATCTAGAATGATGTGACGTCTTGTTTCCCCAAAATAGGGTAATGTGTTAGTATGGTCTTCTCCTTTAGCAATCAGATACAGGGTTCCAGACTAAGCGTCCCCCAAAGTGTATATTACAGGAGTTTTTGTTCTGCAATTTTACCTTAGGGTTTTATGATTCTCCGCTGTCAGTATCTTTTACACTATGAGTGGCGAGACTTCTGGGGTAGTGTGGATCATGTGATCTGCTGCTTGTATACTAGTTCTTATAGCAACTGACTGGCACAGCTAGTATTTAGCATGATGGCAGCTTCAGGCTCCTAACTTCTGAAGAAGTCTCACTATTGGGCGTAATGTGTAAAGGGCTGGAGCCTGATTCCAATGACATCATCACACTGTGACTGCTGTTATTGAGGATTACATGTATGTTAATGGAGTCTCTGTGTTACATTCCGGATTCTGCATTTCTTGATGGATTATGATAATATATGCAATCTGTCATGATACCATTTGTGTTTTTAATCTCTTAAAGCTTTAATAAAATAATACAGCGAGCACCATATTGGTTCTCTTTCATGTTGTAATATACAATTTGGTGGAAGCTTAGATCGGAACCCTGCATCTGTTTACTAAGGTAAGAGATCATACTACCATATTAGTCCCTGTAGGGGAAACAAGCCATACCTCACATCATTCTTGAGGCCATTTAATTGAGGTGAGAAGATTGTATTGTCACTAGGTGAAGACTTTTGCACCATATAGTGTGGAAGAGAAAAGCACTCAAAAGAAAAAAACACTCTTTTGTTCACCTGGAGTTGGACTTGTCATGTATGAACTTTTTTTTTGTCACGCAATATTTGTTTTCATTGGAGGTTGATGCATTTGCACTTTATGAATACTTTTTTTTATTCATTGGAGATTTATAGACAATGGGCTTTATTTACTAAACCTGGAGAGTGCAAAATCTGGTGCATCTCTGCATAGAAACCAAACAGCTTCCAAGCTTTTTTTGTCAAAGCTTAATTGAACGTGCTAAAGTTAGAAGATGGTTGACTACCATTCATAGCTGCACCAGGGTTTGCACTCCTCAGTTTTAGTAAATCAACCCCACTGTATTTGGTAGACATATACAGAATTAATATGAGTATGCGATTCTTTTGGGATCACTTTGATTGTTTTTTTGTTTTCACAATATTTAGATATGTTCCTTTTGAAGTTTGATTTATTTTTGGTTTATTTGGGGTACATGTGTCAAATACAGGGCCTGCAAACCAACTACGGACTACCAGGCCATTTCATGTGACCCTCACACCTCTCCTGCAGCTGTGGCACCCCCCCTCATCTCCTCCCCTACCTGATCTTAGCAGATGGCAGCAGAGAAGAGGACTGAACTCCTCCATCAGGTCTTGCACTTCTCTGTGCAGCCACAGAGAGGGTTGTCTCTGCCCCCACCTTCCGTCTCAGCAGTCGCACCAGAGAGGAGGACAGAACTCCTCTTACAGATCCTTTGCCTTCTTGTGCAGCTGCAGACGCCCCTCATCTCCACCTTCCCTGGTCTCAGCATTCAGCAAACTCCGGCAGCTGGCTCCAGCCCTCCTCTGGTTCCTCTCCAGACGCTTCACTTTCTGCTTTCCAGGTCCACCCCAGCTTCTCTCCATCAGCAGCACAAGGTAAGGGGGTCGCACTGCGTTGTAAGGGAGGATGGGGGACTCTTGATTTCTGATGGTGAGAGGGGGAGGCTTGACATTTGATGTGAGGGGGGGGGGGGGGGAGAGAGTGGCTCTGGACCTCATAATTATTATTAGAATTATACAATTCTATGCCAGGTGAAAGAGGGTTTTACACGGCTATTATTCACAAACAAATGTATTGGAGACTGCTCAGACAGAATGCCATGGCAGAACCATGTTCCCTCTGAGCAGTCTGTAATAAGGTTCCTTGTGGATGTTACCAGTTGTGTATGACCCTCCTATTCAGACGTGCATCATCTGCAACAGGAGTGCGAGTGGGCTCCGTGCCGGTCTGCACCTGTTCTTCACAGAGTAGATACATATAGTCTTACAGGTACAACCGGCCCATTGAGGGCAACCATAATGCTGATGTGGCCTGCGGTGAAATTGAGTCTGACACCCCTGGTTTAGGGTATTGTTTGCACAGACATGGGTAGTTTTGTTGTATAGCTCTGCACTGCTGGGTTAATTGACATGTTTGGTATCTTTTAATCAATGCAATATCATCTTTAAATTTTACCAAACAAATGGGAATTCTGTTTTATTTATGCGCATTAAAATGAAAACAAATGTATTTTTTTACTGAAACTGCAAGTGTGATAAGCAGTTTGTGTGCAAATATTGTGCAGCATAAAAAGCTGCAACTACAGTATACAGATCCTCTGCTTTTTAGAACATTTAATTTTAACATAAATAAAACTCTGGCAACTAAAGGTTTTTATACCACATGGCATCGCCAGTAACCATAAATAACAAAGCATATAGGTATGTAATACGCATGCATTTTCTTATTTCTTTCTTTTTTTTTTTTTTTTTTTTAAGTGGTCTTGGACAAACTGAAGCAGAGTCATGCTACATTAACATTGCAAGAACACTTGAATTCTACGGAGTTGAAATGCACAGTGGTAGAGTATGTTTGACTATATGTGCTTATACTATCTTGGCAAGAAATCCTCATGTGTTTGTGAAGGCCAAGAACTGAGTAGTAACGTACAATTAATTGTGTCTTATCAATAAATTCAAACATTATCAGTTAACAAAATGAAAGTACAAAACCTTGAAAAATTGTTAAGGTGAACTTATGTGGCAAAGGGCAAATGCAATATGTCCTTAAAGCCCAATGAGGGGTAACTACAACTTTATCCCTTGCAGTGGGACTGTGCATGCTCTGCAAGGGTTACCTGCTCTTCATCTAGGGGAACAAAAAAAAAAAGATTTACTTACCAGCTACTCTCTGCAGCTAGACCAGTCCCCACAGCTTCTTCTCCTGCTTGTTCAATGATCTATGGTCCTGATGTCATCAAGACCAAAGCAGGGTCTAAAGCCCTGCATTGGATGTGATTACACCAAGGATGGGTCTACTACTGGACCGGAGGTGAAGGGACGCTCCCACCACGGGAGCAGAAGATCTTACCAATAAATTCAGTTATAACGTTTCTTGCAGAAGGATTTTCAAAGATGTTTACAAATATTTTCTGGAAAACAATTTTCTATATACAAAGCAAAAAGTTTTAAATTTTGTATGTAATATACAGAACAGACAACCAATTAGTTTGACTTGGCAAGGTCCTCATTTACAAAATATTACAGCGATGAGGATACTAGAAACTGTGAACACAGATTATGTTGCTATATACAGGTGTACCTCAGTTTACAAATGCCTCGGTTAACGTAATTTTCGGTTTATGAATGAGAATCCATTGAAAATAATGCCTCGGTTTACAAATATTTTCCAAATTTTTTTCGCAATATGAAGTGTATGTCGGTGCCGATTTTTAAATGCAATTGCCGGCTTTTTATTTCTTCACTATAGCTCACAGAATTAGCCGTCACTTCCCCCAGAGTTAAAGGAAACGGTTTATTTTAAGAAACTAAAAGCAAACATTGTTTCTTTTAACTTGGGAAAATAAACTAAAAGGAAACTTTCTTTTTTTTAGCTGGGGGAAAGTGACAGCTGAATCTCTGAGCAATAGTGAAGAAAAAAAAAAGCGGTAATTACATTTAAAAAGCGGCACCATACTAAATAAAAAAAAAAACGGCATGGGGTCCCCCCTCCAATCCATACCAAGCCCTTTGGGTATGGTATGGATTTTGAGGGGAACTCCCACGCCAAAAATGTTTTTTAAAAATAGCATGGGGGTCCCCCCCAAAATCCATACCATACCCTTATCCGAGCATGCAGCCCGGCAGGTCAGGAAACGAGCGAGTGCCCCCCCTTCCCGAGCCATACCAGGCCACATGCCCTCAACATGAGGGGTGGTCGGTGGTTGTGGGGGTATATGGGCAGGGGGCTTATCAGAATCTGGAAGCCCCCAGATCCCGCCCCCCATTGTGAATGAGTATAGGGTACATGGTACATGGTCCCGCTACTCATTCACAAAAAAAACAAAAAGTGTAGTGTGAAAAAAGACAGGACACGGTCTTTGACAAGTCCTTTATTAAAAGAAGAACATAAAAGAATGTCCCCCACAGTAGATCCAACATCAATCACGATGTCCACTGCCAACCCGAAAAAAAGAATTAAAAGAAAAAGGCTCCGCTCCTGATGAAGGCCCCCAGCCGTCTGCCTGCTCCAGTGGTTTGACAGGTTTTAAATATGTAAGGGGTGTGGCCACCCGGGGACGTCACGCATGTGACCCCACCTCATGATGTCACATGGGGTGGGGTCACTCAGGTGATGTCCCTGGGTGGCCCCTTACATATTTATACGGCCGGGGCCCATGTGAAAGAGTAGCCCATGTACCCCATACTCATTCACATGGGGGGGGCAGGATCTTGGGGCCCCCCTTTTAAAAGGAGCTTCCAGATTCCAATAAGCCCCCTGCTCGCAGACCCCCCAAACCACTGGCCAGGGTTGTGGGGAAGAGACCCTTGTCCCCATCAGCATGGAGAAAAGGTTCTTTGGGGGGGGGAGCCCCCCTGCCCCAAAGCACCCCCCCATGTTGAGGACATGTGGTCTGGTATGGCTCGGGGGGGAGGGGGTACACTCGCTCGTTCGGATAAGGGTCTGGTATGGATTTTGGGGGGGACCCCCACGCCATTTTCTTTTATTTTGGCGTGGGAGTTCCCCTCAAATTCCATACCCGAAGGGCTTGGTATAGATGGAAGGGGGGATCCAACGCGGTTTTTTTTTGTTGATTGCCGGCAATTCTTTTACATTCAGCTGTCAGTGGAGAACCCTGCTGACAGCTGAAATATTAATACATGATTGTCACTACTAAAATACCGCATGACTTGATAAAATAACTCATTAGGTATTTTAGTAGCTTTTACTTTTTTCTGACCTCTGGAATGGATTAATTGGTTTTCATTGCATACCTATGGGAAATGGCGTTTTCAGTTTACAAATTTTTCGCTATACGAAAAGTCCCGCAGAACGAATTAAATTTGTAAACCAAGGTATGTCTGTATAATTTATTTCCATGTATATACCTGTATAATTTGTATGATGTAACACATTTATAGCAATGGTATAGAAAAAAACAGCAGTGAGCGCTAATCCTGAAATCGGCTGAGCACTCTAAGCAACCAATATAAACTTAAATGAAATAACATAAAAATAGTGCAGCGCTAAAAGTAGTGACAATAAGACAAATAAAAGTCCACTAAAAGTCTTGGTCAAATGGACGTGTCCAGTGACAAATGAGGATTCAGAATTGGTGATCCGTGTGGAAACGGCTGAAAAACGCACTCACCAGAAGTAAGACACATAAACGCAGTGCGCATCTAGAGCTCATGGATCCTCAATCCAGAGGGGAGTAAAGCTGGTCCGGTTACAGGAATGGTGAATCCCTCCTCTGTGGATGCAGCAACAGATCCTCCTTCTCTCGATTAGGTGTAGAATTCCAAGATCAAGATTCTGCAAGCAAAAGCTCCTTAAGAGCAGCTCATTGGCTCCCCAACTATCTTAATTTGCATTAAGCAGATCTAGTGTTCTGATTTGCCGATGCTCTGTCTTACGCAACTCTACTCACACTTTGGCGTCAAAGTGTGAGTAGAGTTGCGTAAGACAGAGAAGGAGGATCTGTTGCTGCTGCATCCACAGAGGAGGGATTCACCATTCCTGTAATTTTTCAGCCGTTTCCACATGGATCACCAATTCTGAATCCTCATTTGTCACTGGACACGTCCATTTGACCAAGACTTTTAGTGGACTTTTATTTGTCTTATTGTCACATTTATAGCAATGTTTACTGTGACCACAGTTATTTATCTCTGTTTTACAGTTCACCAGGACAAGTATTAAATATATATTTCAAATAAATTCTGTTTGATGTATTCATGATGTTTCAAATGTATGTATGGAATTATTTTACTTTGGAGGCAATAAAAATGAATATCTTTCTTGTACTGGATTTGTATAAATGTCTTAAATGATTAAATGGCACCATCTAGGGCCTATGTTAATATTGTGTGTGTTTACTGCCCCTCTATAACATGAGCCATAACAGATTGATCCTAATGATAAAAAATGACAAATCATTAGAATATCTATATATAATTGCTCATAGGTAAGGGTAAGCAGTCAATATTGGCATAGAACCTCTAAATTATAGTAATATATAATAAGAAAACGTTTCTAATTAATTCATGAATAATTAGACTCTTTACTTAAACTGCTTTGTCAAAGGTTGAATGAATCAAAGCCTTCCTAAATGTCATGTATAATGAATTCTCGATGTCCCAATGTTAATAATTTAGGTATTTTAAGGTAAATTTGATTTATTTTATTTTGTTGCCTGACATGGAGGAAAACGTGCTTTGTGACAAACAATCCTTAAGAGCTACTTAACACATTGTTTTTATTCATTTATTTACAATTTTCTATATTGAATTAATAGTGATGTAAACACTTTCTGTGCCTTCAGAACAATCAAAACCATACATCGATAATAAGCATGATATAAATTCATTAAAAGTGCTGCCAGAAACGTGCCTTATTTGTCCTATTTTTTTCTTCCCAGGATCTTCATAACTTAGACTTGTTAATTGGCATTGCTTCAGGAGGCATAGCTATATATAGAAAGCAAATTTGCACCAGTTTCTATCCATGGTATGTTAATTTACTAAACACATATTTTTGATCAGAAAATAAAAAGTTTAAATATTAATGATTAGAAAATAGAATTAAAAAAACAAAAAAAATCTGAAACTATTAGCTTAGGGGAAGAAATAATTAGAAATGATCAGGTAAGGGTTATTAAGGGGTTAAAAACAGTGTTTACGGATACTGGGGGTTGATCTACTAATGGTAAATAGGCTGTTCACTTTGGAAGGGAATTTTTGACTTTACAAGGAATTTTTTGTTGGCTTAGTTATTGTGGTGACAATTCACTTTGCAAAGAATACCCAATTATGTGCAAAGACATTTTAAAAAAAACAGTGTTTTGCTTGCAGATGATTGGTTGATGGTAGCCCAACAGAGCTTCACTTTATTCACTAAGTTAAAGGGTAACTCCACTGTTTGTGAGAAAAAGTAGCAAAAAAAATAGTATAAACATGCAATTGTTACACAAGTCATATTATAGTTGAATTATTAAAAATTACCTTTTCAATCTGCAGTGCAGTAGTTTTCTGTAAGATGCAGTGCAATATGGCAACTGGGGGGTGAATGCAATTTCCTGCTTCTGTGATTGATTGGTTTACTGATTTTCCCAGCAGTCTGCTACTTTCTTCATTAGAACCTTTCAAATAAAGCAGCTGATTGATAAATTTAAATCACTCCCCTTCACATTGACTTTGAACATGGACACGGGCAAACCAAACCGCTATTTCTACTGAATAACAAAAGGCAGGAATCTGCAACAAAGCTTGTTAAAAGCCTTGCAATGTACATTGATGACCAAGAGGGGAATAGTTTCTCAACAGAAGTGGAGTTACTGTTTAAGGGAAGAGACCCTTGCAAAGTGAACAGCCTGTTTGCCTAGTAAATTACTCCCGCTATGTCAATAGGTCCCTTGACAGCAGGGAAATTTTCAGAAAATTCTAGGGGGAAACTCGCAGCAGGAAAGAATGAGGTACTACATATGCCATGTGTACTTCTATTTTTGTTGGGCATATGTGTCATGTCCAATGTCCACAACTGGTTAAGAATACAGGTTGCAACCAGCAGCACAAATAACAGAAATGTTATATTATTGCTTTATGGTACAGGTAAGTAAAGCCATAACTAAAAATAAGTGTTTAACCAGTTGTAGACACCGGGTGTACTATCCCCCCCCCCCCCCCCAAAAGAAATGTAATCCAATTACACAGGTTGTATATTTTATAACTCCATGGGAGTTTTAAAGCATCCAGCCTTAATAGTGTATCATAAAACAGTATTTTTATTCATACATCATAAAAATATAAACAATTAAAAACATATTGTGGCTGACACAATTCATGTCAAGATGGTTTTCAATCATATATTATGAGAATACCCAAATCAACCTGAAAGAGATTAAAAATTTGTTGTATTAATATTTCAGTACAGTATTTGTCGTAGGAGTTGGGATGATCCAGCACATTTCGATTAGTATCTTCCTTAGGGGTATGGGTATATAATAACATCTACAACAAAATCATAACATGTTATAACATATCCATGGAAATATCTAGGTGCCTCAAGTGCAGCCTTCAAAGACTAGCAAATGTGCACACAAAGGATCCCATGGACTGCCCAGAGCTAGCTACAACAACAATATACACTATGTTGCCAAAAGTTTTGGGACACCCTCCTTTGCACTCACATGAACTTTAATGACATCCCGATCTTAGAGCTGCAAAGGATGGGCCAACTCAATAATGAACCGCACAGACTAACAGCTTCAACTCTTCTGAGACGGCTGTCCACAAGGTTTAGGAGTGTGTCTATGGAAATGTTTGACTATTCTTCCAGAAGCACATTTGTGAGGTCAGGCACTGATGTTGGACAAGAAGGACTGGCTCGCAGTCTTCGCTCTAATTCATCCCAAAGGTGTTTCTATTGGGTTGAGGTCAGCACTGTGCAGGACAATCAAGTTTCTCCATTCCAAACTCGCTCATCCATGTCTTTATGGACCTTGCTTTGTGCATTGGTGCACAGTCATGTTGGTACAGGAAGGGGCCATCCCCAAACTGTTCCCACAAAGTTCAGAGCATGAAATTTCCAAAATGTCTTGGTTTACTGATGCCTTAAGAGTTCCCTTCACTGAAACTAAGGGGCCAAGCCCAACCACTAAAAGTCAAGCCCACACCATAATCCCCCCTACACCAAACTTTACAATTAGCACAATGCAGTGAGGCAAGTACCGTTCTCCTGGCAACTGCCCAAACCCAGACACGTCCATTGAATGGCCAGACAGGGAAGCGTGATTCATCACTCCAGAGAACACATCTCCACTGCTCTAGAGTCCAGTGGCAGCGTGCTTTACACCACTGCATCCAACGCTTTGCATTGCACTTGGTGATATAAGGCTTGGATGCAGCTGCTCGGCCATGGAAACCCATTCCATGAAGATCTCTATGCACTATTGTTGTGCTAATCTGAAGGCCCACACAAAGTTTGGAGGTCTTTAGCTATTGACTCTGCAAACAGTTGGTGACTTCTGTACTTCAGCATGCGCTAACCCCGCTCTGTCATTTTAAGTGGCCTACCACTTCGTGGCTGAGTCGCTGTTTCCAGTTGCTTCCACTTTGTTATACCACTAACAGTTGATCGTGGAATATTTAGTAGCCAGGAAATGTCACGGATGGACTTATTGCACAGGTGGAAACCTATCACGGTACCACACGTGGATTCACTGAGCTCCTGAGAGCGATCCATTCTTTCAAAAATGTTTGTAGAAACAGTCTGAATGCCTAGGTGCTTGATTTTATACACCTGTAGCCATGGATGTGATTGGAACACCTTAAGCTAATGATTTATAGGGGTGTCCCAATACTTTTGGCAATATAGTGTATATGTAAATGTAGGGAAAAGGACCTGTAAATCCAGGATGATTATAAGCTTTATCAAATGATATAACCACACGGCACCTATACATTATAAGGTTCTTTCCCCCCCATAAGCCCAGTGTAAAGATCTCTCCCCTCATACTCTATCTAATATAAAGAGTACAAAAATATATCAGTATATCAGATGCCAAAAACATATATAACCGTTTAAAATCTAGGTGCCTCATATCCTTGCTCACCACGGCAGAGCAGCTATCAAAGACTACCAAATGTTCACACAAAGAATCCCGTGGACAGTCCAGAGCTAGCTGCAACAACAATATATATGTAAATGTAAGGAAAAGGAGCTGTAAATCTAAGGTGATTATAAACTTTATCAAATAATATAACCACACCACACCTATACATTATAAGGTTCTTTTTCCCCCCATAAACCCAGTGTAAAGATCTCTCCCCTCAAACTGTATCTAATATAAAAAGTACAAAAATATATTAGTACATCACTAGGACCATTCCTGTCATACGTGTGCATGACCAAAAAAGGGGATAGTATAATAATGTTTCGATGAGTACTTAAATTACTCTGTGATTGAAAACCATCTTGAAGTATATTGTTAGCTAAAATATTTTTAATTGTTTATATTTAATTTGATGTATGACTAAAGATACTGTTTTATATGATACACTATCGACTGTTTGCCTAAAAGGTCTCATGGAGTTACAAGACAAACGATTGCTGCATTAATGATGTTTGCAACATTTTTCTAGTCTGTTCCTATATTTCCTATTTTTAAGATATTATCCAAGTACACAAGACATATGTTGTAGGTCCTGTCCTTGTTCTCTGCTGCTCTCTCCATTGCATTTTGTAGCAATTTCAGGCTGTCATAATTGTAGCCGGGAGTTGCTGTGTTACCACAGCACCTGTAGAATCTGCTGCTGTCAAAATGGATCATCTTGACACAGTGGGGTTTATTTACTAAAGCTGGAGAGTCCAAAATCAGACTCACTTCTGCATAGAAACCAATCAGCTTCCAGGTTTCATTGCCAAAGCTTCATTGAACAAGCTGAGGTTAGAAGCTGATTGGTTTCTATGCAGAAGGGAGTCTGGTTTTGGACTCTCCAGCTTTAGTAAATAAACCCCAGTGTTTCTAAAGAGGGTTCAGACATGGGGATATAGGAATACAAAGTTACATTGTTATTTTTGAATCTACTACTCTAATCAGCACTAATTAACTCTTTCTTTCCTTCTCTCCTGTTATTATCCTGCTGGTTTCTTTTATTTCTGTTTTTCTAACCATTTATGTTTAAACTTTATTTGTTTTGATTTAAAGTTTTTAGTGTTGCAGGAAAGAAAAGTGCAATATTTAAGAAAAAAAACTTTTATTTCACTTGTAAATAGCTTTGCATACATTCATAATGTTAGTGCCATTTTAAATGGGGCAAAATATAAAATACTATTTTATATCGAGTAACACTGTGATTTTGAATTTTATAATTTTTACAGATTGCATAAAAAATCATTTTGAAAGATATTGTTTGTCATACTGAAGATAACAAAGTAATAAAAGTATATAGTTTTTAGGACAAAGTAGGACTATAGCAGAAATGTAAGCATTGCTTTAGTGTACTGTAGGGAGTGTACAGGTGTTAAAGCTGAAGTGGTTAAACATTTGTAAATAAAAGTTTATACAGTGATCGTTTGCCAACAGCTGTTGTGCACAGGTTAGAAAACTAGTTTTGTTGTTTAGCCATCTGCCTTGGATAATAAAAATACAATAAATTGTCTTATTACATATTTTTTTTTTGTTTAACATGTATGTTTCTCATATGTGAAAATAAATGAAAACAATATAAATATGTACAAATTAAAAATATGTACAAATTACAAAAATGTTTGTACAAACATAAGTTATTTAAGTCATCATTTTGTGTCTTAAAAGAGAAGTATGGAATACAAAAAAAAAAAACACCACGTATACTTACTCTCCTATGTAGATGCAGATTTGATCCAGTGCTGCTGGTGTCTCCCGCCAGCTCTACACCGAGAACTGAGTAATCAAAACTGCTGACTCCTCAGTTCTCGGGTTTGCTCTGAGCACAGAGTGGTGACTGTCAG